TGCCATGGCCCTGCGCATAACTGTGTATCGTGGATGTGGCATGCAGGTTCGCCTCTCCTGCTGTGGTCCCTCCCTCACAGCCCATTTCCCGTGGAACAGGGCTCAGTCTGGACAGTGACTCACAGCATTATAAAAAGACACACGATTGCACATGAGTTAGATATGTTCCCACCGCGCTGATTACAAAGTTATTTGCATTGATTTTTGCTTAAGAAGAAGTAATAGTTAAACAATTCCTCAACAGGTAAAAGGTTACAATGCTCCAGTTCCCCTGTGATCAGGCTCACCATAATGTTTTCAATAATCAAATGAACAGAAAAAGAGAGGCAGTTGTACATATTAACCTGTTCTGTCCTGACACCTCCACCCACTTCTGCAGGGATCATAGGACCTATATCATTAGAAATTTGGGTGATACAATGTCTTAGTCCTATTTTTATTTTTATCAAGATGGGGTCTTGCTATGTAGCCCAGGCTGGCCTCAACTCACAGTGATCCTTCTGTTTTAGTTAACTCCTTTAGCTGGGGTTGTACATGTGTGCCACCATGTCTGGCAATGTTTTATTCTTATTTTAGTCAGTCCAAGGGATTAAGAATATTTATGGAAAGTCAGGGTTCCAAAGGTCATGGAACATAAAAAAAAAAAAAAATGCAAAGGCATACCAATTAAATAGCTATTGTCATTTCTAAAATATTTTCAGGAAAAACTGTGAGACCATGTGCATTCAGTGGTGTCTTGGCATCTCCAGGAAGAATATGGGATTCTCAGTGTGTCCTGCAACTTCCTGTCCTTCCCCTTCGGGGCCTGGAATACGTCGCCCACCAGACAGGGTGCACTGAGAGGCCCCCAAGAGGGAGACGGCTAGGCAACTCTCCTGGAGATGGATGTGCTCCCAGTGCCCAGGCTCAGTGCCCTTGGAATGCCAAGTTCTCTCAAACCCAAAGACAAGACACCTCCCAGCAGCTGTGACTAGGAAACAAGTATCACCGGGCTGTGGCCCTGGGAAAACCCACACCAAGGTGTGGCTGGGGCAGTTGCAATGACTGGCCAGCTCCCTCCTGGGGGTTGCCACTCTAGCAATAGCCTCGGAACCACTATAGGGTTTGTGGTTCTCTATCCATGGCGCTTCCCTGAAATCCCAGGGCCGAAAGATGAACCGCTGAACCCTGGGAAACAGCCCACATTGTGCACTTTGTTCTTAACATGGACCTGAAAGGTCCCCAGAAAGAGGAGCAATTTGGACCCTGAAGAGAAAAACACAGCACAGTCCCAGCTGTGGCCTCACTGCACTGGGGACAGATGGGATCTGTTAGTGCTGTCCTCCCAGTCCCTACCCAGAGACGCATGTCCTGCACACAGATGTCTGTTTCTGCAGAGAACTCTGCCAGACACTAGGGGTCAGTACTGCCGCATACAAGGGTGACCAAAAACAACTGGGAGTGTTTTAAATAAGAAAAACCTTTAAATAAGAAAACCTTCTATAGTAAAAGACACATTGCCAAAACAAGCGGAGAAGGGCAGTTCAGGGAAGAAAGGTGGTCCGAGAACTGTGAGAGGTTTCATGCAATGGGTCTTGGCATAGTACATTTTTTAAAAAAATTTGATCACCAAGCACTGATCAACTGTTTATGGCAATTTCTGTCAAATGAAAGTGGGATGCTGTGTCTTCACCCAAATTAGTCACTGGATTTGACACTGTGACTTCCAGCTCTTCCCCAAAGTCAAAATGACCGTGAGAGGAAAATGTTTTAAACCCATTTGAACATCAAGGCAGCCAGGACAGTGCCACTAGAGACCCTCAGGAAAGAGGAGTCCAGAGATGCTGCAGGAAGCGGCACGAATGCTGGGAGCAGTGTGTTGGAAGCAAGGGGGAGGCTTTTGAGGGAGGCCCATAGCAATGTGTATTTTACTGTAACAATTTTTTAAAAATGGAAGCCTTCACCATATTGTTGATCAGACCTTGTACGGGGGTCCTGGCAACGGACAGCTGGAGGGGAAGGCCATGGAGGGATAAGCCAGGTGCCCATGGGAGCAGAACGAGCCTGGGCCCCACGTGCCTACTCATTGTGCCTGCCTCTCCATCATGGGAGGGCTACAGGGACCAAGGCCATGCAGCCTCTCTGACCTTGCTTGCCCCTCTCTGTCCCAGGTTCAAGTCCTGGCCTGAGCTGTTGCAGCCCTTCCAAGGTAATCAGTCTGGGGACATTGCCTGACCAGGGCTGGGGGGCCTGGAATTAACTGGGTCCTGCTCACTGTGACTTGGGGCCACTGAGCTCGGGCTGAGAACTGTGCTTCTTGGGGACCAGCATTGTGGACAGAATTTCCCCTGCTGGAGCCCTGGAAAAAGAGCAGGGCATTGGAGGAGGGGGCGAGGGGCAGGGCAAGGGGACCCCTAGGGCCCCCACATACAGCAGGGAAAACTCATAACCCCAAGACAGTTCACCAGGAAACCTAGATGCCCTGGAGGGGGACAGGTGACTGAGTCCAGCGGGTCAGAGCGTACCCACGTCAGGAAGCGCACAAGTGCAGCCTACACACCCACTCACCTAGCAAAGCTCAGGCCAATCCCAGAAGCACTGGACACTGAGTCCAAGCAGAAAGTTTGAAACAAAATATTTTATTAGCAGTCTTTACTTCTGAGAAGTATCTAAGCTTCTGTTCATACATTCTGCATCTCCTGGCCTCTGGGCTTCGCTTTACTTCTATCCCATTCCTATGTAGCTGGCGGGGACCAGACAAATGGTCCAGTGAGTTCTGCTCCCACGGGTACCATCGGCACCACAGGCACGAGTGGAGAGGAAGCTTGCTTTCCTTCTTGGAGGTTGGGGTGGTGAGGGGTGAGGGACTAGCATGCCAGACATGAAGGAAATCCCCCCAAATAACACCTCAGAGCAGCTCTGCACGCACGTGCACACACACACACACACGTGTGCAAATACACAAGTGCACACACGTGCCCAGCAGCAGGCCAGGTGGCTATGCCAGCAGGCTGAGACCAGGCAGGGCAGGATGGGCCCTCTCCATGGTGAGGGGCAGGTTGGGCCCCAGGTGACGCCCTTTCCTACACAGGCGGGTGCTGCTGACCAGTCTTGTCGTGGCCACCCGGTTGGTGACTGAACTGAGAGCTGGTCAACTCCTTCCACCCTCCCAGTTCTGGGACATGAGCACATGGCTGCTCCTCGCCTTGTCCCAGCATCCCTGGCCACCCAGGTCAGGACAGCCAAAAGGCCACATGTGTGTGTGTGTGGCGGGGGGAGGCAGGGCATGCCTGGCAGGGAGCAGTGAAGGAAGCTCCTTTCCAGGAGGAGCCCAGGCACCCCTTTTCCTTTTCTCCCTCCTTCAAGTGCGCTCCCTGGGCTGCAGTCTCCTCTACTGACGCTGGGGGGCGTATGGCCGCCCAGTTTTCATGCTTCCTTTCACCTAGGCTCTTACAGGAAGAGGTACCCAGAGGTGTCAGACTGGGAAGTCTCAGTCTCCATCCCAGAGGAGGGAGCAGAACTCACTACTCGCTCTCCCCAAGGTGATTCAGAAATCAGGGTGGATGAGTGTGTGGATGCCGCCTTAGGTCTGAGGAGCAAGGGTACTACCGAAAGAGGAGAAAAGAGCAAGGAGCGGCCTAGAAACCCAAATGACAGCATTGGAACCCGGGCAGCAGAGGGGGAGGGGGCCACACCCTGGGGCCTTGTGCCTACAGAAGAGACCTGGGCTGCCCACACCCTCATGTGGCAGCCAGGCCTCCCAAGGACCCGAGAGGAGCAACAGCGCCAGCCTGAGGGGCTACCTCTGCATCATCGCCTGCTTAAGTCAGTGTCCTCTAAAAACTGACCCACGTTGCCCCATCTGGGCCATCGGCCCTCATGTTCTGTGATGGGACTTTTGAGGGACCCTGGCCAGGCCCTCAATTATGCAGGATGAGAATAATCTGCTCCCCATGGAGAGTGGGGTGGTCAGGGTGGCTGCCTATGGAAAGGTTTCTACAAGGGTTGAGGTGCTTTGGAGCCCAGTGCCACACAGGGGCCTCTCCTGTTTCTGCGGATGTCGGTGAGGAAGCTGTCCCTGGAATAACAATTCCTCCCCAGGGCACGGCACCTGGGGAGGAGGTCATAGACCACAGCCCCACAGCCCCACAGCACTAGGCCCCATGAAGAGCAAAGGCTGGGGGATGGGCTACTTCAGTGCAGACCTCAACCAAGGACGTCTCTGCACCTTCCAACTGTGTACTTCTCTAGCGATCGCTATGTTGGACTTCCCTGTGCATGGCGATCATACTTGGAGTTAAATCAAGACTTTATTTATAAAGGCTAAATTGGACCCTGGTTAAAAACTGAATCTAAGGCAATCTTCTATTTGTATAGAACAAGCAAGCTTAACAGTACATCTTAATATAGATTTCAACTGTTTTTGCTAAGGAAAGAAAAAAAAAAAAAAAGATCCAGGAGTGAAAAAAATAAATAAAAAGAAATCTCTAAGCACTTTTAAAGTCAAATCCACACACACAGTCAACGTTGGACCCTTTGCATCCGGTACGCGCAGGAAACGAAGGCCTCGGGAAGCTCAGAGCCCTGCACAGCTGAAGAATCCCTTGAACAGGGTCTAGTACAGTATGTACAGATGGGAAAACTGGCTCAAGGGAGAGCAGTCAATCTGCTGCAAGGGACAGCCTCTCAAGGAACACCCTGACGCTGGGGTCATGCCGCCCTGGAAGGAGAAGGCAACTCTTCCTATCAGTGACCCGATTGGCACCACCTGTCCTGTCCAGCGGCCTAGGTCCCTCGCATAGCTCTGGCTGGCCCAAGGCTCTGGTGTCCTGCCCAAACCTTCCCCAAGCTCAGCTTCCCAGGTGCAGTGGAGGTAGTTGATGTGGTAGATGAGGAAAGAAAATATTCAAAAATCAACTGGGCTGATCTGATCTGCATGGGGTGTTTTTTTTTTTTTTTTTTTTTTTGTGAAATGAGGGTGGTCAGAAATGAAAGAAATGATCTACTTTGTGTACAATAAGAAGCAGGTAGAAAAGAAAATGGCATGAAAGGGTTGGCCAATTTCATCTGAGAACTGTGTGTGGGACTCAAGGACCCCCGCATCCTGGTGTGGACGTGCTGCTGTTGCCCTCCCAGGAGCCTGCGACTGACTACCCACAGGTTCTGCCTGGAAACAAGACCACTCTGAGATCTGGCTGTATTTCTCTATCTCTGAACACAGTACGTTGTTTGCCCTGAACATGTCCTCCCCAAGTGCTAAAAAGATAAAACTTTTTAAAAGGAGTGAAATTTACTGACATTTGGCTCTGAAAGTGACTTCGTCAGAAAAGAGAGGGACTTTAGAAAGAAAACCAGGAGGAAGAAGCCACAAGATGGACCATGCCTTGCTCTGGTTTTCGGCCCCCCGAAGCACAGACTCCCTGCGTGACCCCCATAGAAGTTGTCCTGGCTCCCTGTCCAGGACTCACGTCACCTCCACAGTAGGCCAAAATTTACCGAGGAAGCCTCTTGTCACCATCTGTGTGGCAGTTTTAAATTCTGTCCCAGTCTGTGGTGTTTTAAATGCTGCATGTAACAACAAAACAAACCTTTCTACATCTTCCTAGTTAAAGCTAGAAAAGGTAGTGAGAGAATATCCAACCCAGGCGGGCACAGAAGCTGAGTGCTGGAGCCCCCTGACCAGCCGGCTCCCAGGGTGGGGTCAGAGGAGTCCCTGGGTCACTGGACACAGGCGAGCAGCCGCCACTTGGCAACGCCCTTGGCCACCACGTGTGATGTTCCTCCTTCCAGGCTCGGCCGTTTTACCTCTCGGCCCGGATTTTGTACCTCAGCACAAAATAGGCAATGAGGCGCAGGGAAATGAAGAAAATCCCCAGCACGATGAAGTCCAGGTAGAGCTTGGCATTCTCCACGTCCAGCTCCCGCAGGATGGCCTCCGACTTCTGAAAGTGGCAGGTCTCATCAATGTCACAGTGCAGGTCTTCTCGGTCCAAGCCGTAGATGGACAGGATGACGCCCTCAAAGCCGTACCTGCGGGGACAGCGCTGGGCATGAGAGGACCATCTGAGGAAGGCCAGGTTGTTGCACAGGCCTGGCCCAGCCAGTCTGCTTGCTGTGGTTAGATCTGGATGGCCTTCAACACGCCCTGTGCTCACAGGAGGGGCTTGGAGAGGTGACTGGATTATCAGAGTCACAGCTGACACACTGAGGAGGGGGATCTGGAGGAAGGTGGTGGTCAGTGGAGGCACAGCCTGGGAGGGCCCACACAACCCTGCTTCCTGTCTTCCATGTGGTGAGCAGCGCTCTCCTCCTCCAGACCCCCCTGCCATGCTGCCCTGCCTCAGAGCCTGCTGACCACGGACTGAAATGCCTGAAACCACAAGCCAAAACAAATCCCTCTCTTAAGTTTGGGTGTTGTGCTCACTGTCCCAGTGTGAAGGGAAGGGACTAAGAGCCCAAGAACTTTCTTCCCTGGACACTTCCTCACCTCTCCACACCTTCCTAAGGCAGTGGTGCAGAACCTATGCCAGGTGTGCCGTGTGGGCACGTGGAACCCTCGCTGTCAGAATGGGAGCCAGGTCACCTTGGCAGCTGGGCCTCTGATAGCAGTGGACTTTCTAAACACTTTGGTATTCGGAATTAATTCCAGTGTTGGCACTGGATTGATAAGTGGGTTTTGGGTTGCCATTCCAGTGGCCGGTCTCTAAAACATCCACTTCTAACAGCTACATCCAGCCTCTGTTACATCCAACCGAGGGCAGACATCCTGGCAGGCACACGGGAGTACTTATGTCAAGCACTCGCGTACCCTCTGCCTTCCTGTTCCAGCCTCGTCTTGGCAGAACCCAAACACCAATTTTTGGAAGGGAGACTCAGGTATCCCGTTGGGGTGCTAAAGGGCACACAGACGACACAGCCCAGGACTGGGGCTCTATGTAGCTGTTTGCCGGCACAATCCACCTGGGTCTCCAGCGACATTCCAGGAAAGCGGTGCTTATGCCCATCTGCATGCTGCAGGGATGGGAGGAGCAGCGTGCAGAGAGACATCCAGCACTGGGGACAAAGCCTGGAGCTGGAGGTCCTAGGGCTCTAGAAAACCCTTGTGCCGGGGCACTGGGACATTGAAGAGATGGCTTGCTTCTCACTGGATTTCTTTTTCAAGTTTCACAAAGAACCAGGGCCTTGTTATGGCACATTTCAAATGAAATATGGAAACAATTCAGCATAGTGCAGCCCCAGGACAGCTCTCCTGGGTGATGCGGGGTGCACAAAAGTAGTGAAAATGTAGAAGGCATTGACAGCCCTGTCCATGTCCATCCTGCTGGAGGCTAAGCAGCAGCTTGTGAGTGTGTCAGCCCCAAACACCGTGCCCCCTCTGTCCCACAAGGTCCCCCTGGCTACCTGACGTAGGAGATGTAGGACATCCACTGCAGGTACGTGGGGATGGTGTCAAAGCTCACGAAGAACCCAGAGAACAAGAGGACCGGGATGGCTGTCACAGGACCCACAAATGTCGCCACCTGGAGTGGGGCAAGGACACAAGTAGACCTTGCTGGAGGGGGTAGGTGAGTTCCACTCAACCTCCTGCTCAGGTGGCCCTGGGGACAGTCATGGTCTGCTGTGAGACAGTCCTGCAGGGCAGCAGGGATCACTTGCCTAGCAGGCACGTGGCCCTAGTTCTCTCCCCAGCTCCAGGAAGACTGCCATCCTGCCCTCCCTGGCAACAGGCTCCCTCCTACAGGCCGAGCTGTGAAGCCTCCCTCCTGGAAGCCCAAATCTTAGGCAGAGGGACAAGGGGTGGTGTATCCAGGAGCAGCCAGGGACCCTCTCGACTGCAGTGGCCATAGGCACAGGTGGGAGCCACATACCTGCAGGGATGTGGAGGCAGCACCAATCAGCAGGCCCAGGGACTGCGCCACAAGCGAAGTCATGGTGCCCAGTGCTGCAAAAAGCACGAAGCGCACGGCGTCTGATGGTTGTGATGTCATCCAGTACACGATGCTGCAGTAGGCCACTGGGAACAGGATCTGGGGACACAGAGCCTGTCAGCCCGGCTGTGCCCCCAGAGACTCCTCCTCTGGAAACTCCCAGGCCTACCCCTTTCTAAGCTCATGGCCCACACACCTGGAAGGGGACATCAGCCATGGTCTTGGCCAGGTAGTAGGCTTTCAGGCTGTACCAGTAGTTCAGGTGCTCTCGCAGGAAGACGCCCATCTCCAATGGGACTAGAGTGGGAGTAAAGAAGAGGGGTCAGTGCACCCCCACAGCCACTGGTGCTCTCACGCCTACACCGGGTGCCATGAGATGCAGTCCAGGAGAGGGTGGCTGTGTGGCTCAGCAGTGAGTGCCTGCCGCAGAGGATCCCATTCCTAGTGCCTGTAAAAGACTGAGCAACCCGACTCGGGCCTGCACTGCAGCAGGGTCTCACTACTCAGCCTGAATGAAAAGGTGACACATTCTCCTCTTCTGATAAGAATCTGGAAAGGTGAGCCTGGTGGAGCTCACCTGTCATCCCAGCACTCTAGCAGGCTGAGGCAGGAGAATCATAAATCTGAGCCCAGTCTGGGCAATTTAGTGACTGAGTGAGACCCTGTCTCAAAATTTGAAAATAAACAAAGGACAGGCAATGAATCTCAGTGTGAAGATGCTGGGTTCAATTCCCAGGACTTAAAAGATAAAAATTAACAAAAACAAAGCCGAAAAGAAAAAAAAAATCACCACAGACAGGCTTCTGAGAGTGGGGAGGGTAGGGCTCGTGTGTCCCCCAGCTGGCCAGCAGAACTACGGGCTGCTGCTTTGGCAGCCTTAGAAAATGCCTGTCTGCCTGTCCCCGCCACACCAATGGTCTTCCCTGGGTGTACGTGTATGTTTTCATCTAACACTGAATACAGCACGACCCACTTTGTTACCACAAAGGAGCAAACTGGAAAATGCAAGGCACCATCTTCCGGAAGCCCATCTGCCGGTGAAGGCGTGGCCCAGCCCCCTCCCCGCCCCCCCACCCACGTGGTCACTCACAGGTCAGTACAGTGGGCATGAGGGCGGCGAACATCAGGAACAGCATGGAGAAGAAGAGGAAGCCGGAGTTGCTCAGGACCTTCTTGGCCTCATTGCCGATGCCCAGGTAGAGCAGGCCGATGAGGAGGCCGATGCCGATGTGTGAGGTGATACGCAGGTGTGTGAGGACCTGGGATGGATACGGCTCTTACCTGCTGCCTGTGTGCATGTGGGGCCCAAACAGGGTCGGGGAGCGTCAACCTCCACTCCTGTCCCTGCCCATCTCAGGCTCTGTCCTCCCAAGTAGGCACTCATAGCAAGCTGCACTGTGTACACACGCAAATGCACACACACACACACACACACACACACACACCCTACACACCACACAGCACGCTTTTAGTGCTGCTAAGAGCCATCGCTATCTTTCACTGAACTGTCCTCAACACTGGTGACCAGGGAGGTATCCCCAGCATGGGGCAGTAGGCACATCAGCAGTCACTGCAGGTGCTGCCCTGGGTCAGGATGAGTCCCTCTAGGAGCAGTGGGCCTTTCAGCTTCAGTCCTGGAGGCCACCTGGACACTGGTTCTCACAGGCCAGTGGCTACGCTGTCCAGTAAAGGGTGGCATTATTGGGGGGGACTAGCACCTCTCCCTGAGAGGTCAAGGCTGTGTCCCACATGGGAGCTGTCCCTCTATCCCAGTCCCAACCAATCCCCAGCCTCTGCTGTACCAGCTGTGCTGGGAGCTTGTTCCCACACCCAGCAGCGAGCCGATAGTGCAGGGAGGCCCATGACCTGGGAGTCTGAAGGCCCTGGCACAGCCTTACCGAATCCCGCATGATGCTGAGAAAGGTCCTCTTGAAGAGGATGCAGAACTGCGTGAGGCAGCTGGCCGAGAAGCTGTGGCAGCCTTCCATGGAGGCCGAGTCCTGGGGCACAAAGAGGGGGCCATGAGGCTCCTGTCTGGCATCCTCCATGCACAGACATCGTTCGCGCAGTGGGCACAAGGCCCGGTGAGTCGCTACCCCAGGGCTGGGGGTCTGCATTACCTTTCTGAACCCCTTTAATGGTTTTGGCTGCTTTACCTCTTCAGAGGGCCGGTGCCAAAGGAAGGGGTTCACCTCGGCCTCGCCCACGAGGTCTCTCTTGTAGTCGGCATCACACATGCCCTCCCGCACGGCTCTGACCAGTCGGCCATTCTGGTCGCCATACTCGCCGGATGCCACCTCCATGACTGAGGGGACAGAGAGGAGGAATCATGCCGAGATCCACAGAAGATGGACTATGATGGCTTCTGTTCTCATAGAGCCTCTGGGCACTCACCCCACCTTGCCCCAGGCTGGCCCTTGCCAGTCCCCTGTTATCTCCCCTAATCTGTTCTCCAGGTCTTCCTGGTCTTCCCAGCCCGTCCTCTGTGCCCTCCCTGCTCAGCAGCATCTGTGGCACCCATCCCTTCTCTCAGCAACAAATATGCAGCTGTCAGCTGGAACTTCCCCATGGCATTTAAATGTGCCCAGGCCTTGGCCCTAGCAGAGCCCCTCCTGAATCTTGCCTTTCTCCTCATCCTAGCCTGCTCCTTGAGATTGAAAAGCAGTACCAGTGGCTGTGGGGGCTCACAATGCACACCTGTCATCCTGGCACTCTGGAAGGCTAAGGCAAGAGGATCCCGAGTCCCAGCCCAGCCTGGGAAATTTAGAGACTGAGTGAGATTCTTCTTAAAATTAAAAGAGGCTGGAGATGGAGCTCAGTGCAAAGGCTCTGGGTTCCAACTGCAGTACAGAAGAGCAATTCATCCCTGCAGAAATGCATGGCATGAACACATTGGGGAAATGACAGAATAGAAAATAATAGAATTCTGGGAGAGTGTACCCAGTGCATTCAGAATTGCAATGGACTGAGGAGGGTTGGTGCAGGGTGACACCCACGAGTCTGAGGTGCTCGGGCCTCAGGCAGGGTCTAGGAGGGGGTTAATTCTGGGTCCTGAGATGAGCTTTTCCTTGTTGCACTCAAACCTGGTTACTGTTGTCCTGGATGGGGCAGAGGACACGGGCGGATGCAGCTGTATGCAAAGGGAATGTTCTTTCTTGGTGCTCATGCTGTCTGTGGGGCACTCAGCAAATCCCCCACCAATGGCAGAGCCACTCGAAGCCCAGGAGGCAGGAAAGGCTCTCCTTAGTCCTCACCGAAGTCCGCAGGGTTGTGGTAGGTGGGGCAGTTCAGACCCAAGTCCCGAAGGTAGGGCACGAGGTTGGAGACCTTCCCCCGGTACACACACTGTCCTTGACTCAACACATATAGCTGGAGGTGGAGAGAGGAAGTGTTAACTCAGAACTTGCTTGGTAAAGAACAGAAGTGCCTGCTTGTTCAGTCAGTCAGTCAGCCAGCCAGCCAGTCAGTCAGTCAGTCAGTCAGTCAGTCAGTCAACTGATCAGTCAGTCCATCCATTGGCCAGACACTGGGGAATCAAGAAAGGTGAGCACCCAGGTCTGGTGTTCCCAGCCCAGCCCAGACCCATTGGGCATCTGGGGCAGGGGCCTGGCAGAAGTCTGGGTGGGGGTCTGCAGGGGGACCTGCAGCTACGCACCTGGTCAAAGAGCTCAAAGAGCTTGGCACTGGGCTGATGGATGGTGCAGACAATGGAGCGGCCACCCTGGGCCAGCCCTTTCATCAGGGACACCACCTGGAAGCAGGATGCGCTATCCAGGCCGCTGCAAATCAAGGGCACCATGAGACAGGATGTGGTCCAGGGTCCCCACTGCCCATCATGCCCACTACATAGTGGGGACAGTGGGCCTCCCGGAGCAGAGGACCCCAGCATAGTCTGTGCAGGGACCCCGGGAATGGGTGCAGGGTCCCACTGGCCTTGTTGAGAGAGGGCTATTCTGAGTGAGGGTCCCTGTCCCCACCCCACCTGGGGCTACAGTGGGGGCAGCTGGGGGAGTGACAGGTTTCAATGGGCCAACCCATCAGGCCTCACTCCACCAGACATTTCTGAAGTCCTTCCTTCCTCACAGCAGTTCTGGCAGGCCTGGGGTACCTCTGTTCTCCTGTCCTTCCTTAGCACCCCACCTTCTCCACATCTGCCCCACTTCACAGCCACTGGGCAAGGGCAGTCAGTACTGAGTGGGAGGGAAGGAAGGAAGGAAGGAAGGAAGGAAGGAAGGAAGGAAGGAAGGAAGGAAGGAAAGAAGGAAGGAAAGGGAAGGAAGGAGGATGGACTCTATTTGCAGTACTGGGGATTGACATGAAGGCCTCTGTACTGAACTATATTCCTGGGCCTCTTTTAATGTTTATTTGGAGATAGCATCTTACTAAGCTACTAAATTGTCCACAGCACATTCAAATCTGCAGTCATCCTGCCTCAGCCTCCCAGGGTGCTGTGGTCACAGGTGTGTGCACCACCATAGCTAGTGACCCAAGGGTGCTTTTAAGAGTTCACTGCAGTCATTTTCTAAAATATCCTTATGGAACCTGCCATGCACCGACCATGTGGCTGGGCTGAGGGCCACAGAAGAGGTGGCCTGACCCTGAGGGCCATGGCACGCTGAGAACCTGCTGGAACCTGCATAGGTGAGCAGTTGGGGTGAAAGCTGCTGAGGAGTGGCTAGTGCTGCCCCTGTTGGAATGTGTGGTGGCCCCAAGCACAGCTGGAGTCCACAAGACAGGTGTCAGGGCCCAGGTACAGACTATGGAGTATGTCTATTTATTCTCACATGGACTGGCTCCTGAGGTGGAGGCCAAGCTGGGATCTTGTAAGTGGAAACTGCACTCCTGGAACTGGACTGCTATAAACCCCACAATGTCCTTTGTGTCCCAAGACGATCACTACCCCAGCACAATGCAGAAGCTGGAACAAAAGTGGGTTTTTCATAGCATACTTTGGGGGTACAGTTAGAACTGTAACCTGACTCATCTCATGGTGAGTGGGGTGTGTTCAGAACAGGGATGAGTGGGGGACCACGGGCCTCTTCCTCAGTGTGTCCTGAGGTACTGGCCTCTAGGGCAGCTGTGCTCTGAGGAATCTACTATCCAGGGAGAAGTGGACATGGTGTAGGCACATTTCCCCAGTCCACATGCTCATGGTGGTACACACCTGTCATCCCAGCACTCTGAGAGGCTGAGGCAGGAGGATCACAGGTTCAAGCTGAGCCTAGGCAATGACTTAGCAAGCTCTTGTCTCAAAAAATAAATTAGAATTTGAAAAGGGCTGGGGATGCAGCTTGGTACAAAGGCCATGGGTTCAATTCCTAGTATTGCCTTGCCTCCAAAATAAAATCCCAGAACACTGCAGGGGCTGAACATACATGTCCTCAAGCTCCATTGCCCTGAGAGGACTCCACTGTGAATAGAACAGACCCCAGCACCCACACCACCTGAGGCCACATCAGCATGGCAGGGCCACCTGCAGGAACCAAACGCGACAGGGGCTCTTCTCTGCCCTCCCAGTCATTGTGCATGCACAGGCAGCCCACAAACCCGGGTACCTGGTGGGTTCATCAAAGAACATGACTGGAGGGTTGTTGACCAGCTCCAATGCAATGGCCAGGCGCTTCCGCTGGCCGCCCGACAGGCTCCCAGTCCGTGTGTGAGCGCAGGACAACAGGCCCAGTGCTGTCAGGATCTCCTTTACCTGAGGACAGTGAGGTTAAGTCCCATGAGGGGCTGTCCTCCCAGACTCGGCGACCATGCCTCTCACCCCTCTGGTCACTCCTCACAGCCCACCCAGGGTCTGTGATGCCAGCGCACTGCAATCCTGCAGTCCTGACTTGGGCCAGGAGTGTGGTACCACCCAGGGGCAAGAAACAGTTGGGGAGTTAAGACTTGTCCCTGGCTGGTGACCTGGCACTGGGCATGGACCACTTCTGAGCCTCCCCAGAGCTCCATACAGAGGAGGCCTCTGGTAAGCAGCTGACCAAGGAATGGGCAGTAGACATGAGTAGACGGACAGTGGTGGCTCTTCTTTTCTTACTCCCTCCTTTCTTCCATTCATTCTTCCTTTGCAGTGTTAGAGACTGAGCCCAGGGTTTTCACGTTGGCTTAAAGAAGCCCATAAAGCTCCAGCCATTTTTATTTTAACAAAGGGTCTTGCTAAGTTGTCACACTGGCCTTGAATTTGCAGTCCTCCTGCCTCAGCCTCCCAGAGTGCCCATATTACATGCTTGTGCCACCACGTTCAGCTTGCATCAGGGTTCTGAGCAAAACAGAAGGCCTCTGTGAGCATTAAATGAAATGTGTGCAAAGTGGGCACAGCAAGTGTGCTCTCAGAGTGTCCATCACGGACGTTGTCGTCACTCGTTGGGACCCCTGGGGACTGCAGTCCCCATAGGCTCACAACCAAGCGAGCCAGGCCTGCTGGAAGTCACCTTGCTGCATGGACATAGGAAAAGGGCCTTGGATGGTGCTGATAATGACGAGATGTGCGGGCTGACAGCAGCAGGGCCAGCCCAGGCCTGGCCTGGGACACAGGCCTATCACTGAGATAGGGCCACTGTGCACAGAGTGGCCCCACCGGCTGGACAATGCATTTTGGAAATGGGGCTGCTGTGGGGCCAGCTGGTCCCCTGTGGCTTCTCTGGAGCAGGCCTGAGGGAGGTGGAGGCTGGGTCAGCTGGCAGCTCCCCACCGGGGCCCTCCCTGGGGACAGAATCTTGGATCTCCCTGCAGGATCCACCAGGCCTGGGCCCGCCCCTGGCAGCTAACGCAGGTCCCTGGGGGCCGCAGCCAGTGGACCCCAGGCCAGCAGTTTCTCCAGGGAGATGAGCTCATGAAAGCAGGAGGGATGGACACACAGGGAGAAATTTTCCACTCTGAACTTATGCATTATTTAAGCATGGTCAGGACAAAAGGCAGGTTAGGGGACAGAGCCAGGGCACCAGGTCTGGGCCAGCCACAAGTGGGTTCAGTGTGGGGTTGGAGACTTGGGTTCCAATCTTCCCACAGTCTCAACCCAGAGCCATCATCTCCTCCTCACAGTGCCCCATGGTGTCTGCCCAGAAGGCCAGGAGGTGGCAGTGGCGAGCAGCACTCGCTTTGCGGGGCTTTCTCTCTGTACTTGGTTTTCCCAGCACCAGGCTCCCAGGGTTTCCCCTGACCACTGGCCCAGGCAGCAGGGTTTCTCTGCTGTCCCAGCGCGGTCCACAAATGCAGGGCATCCCTGACCTACCCACTCCCTGGGGCAAGGGACACAGGCGACGAGGAGACGAGGCCACTGAGGGTCCCTGTACTGCTGCCTCTCCTTCTACATCTGCAAGGCCTGGCCTGCATTCCCAAGTTGGTTTTGTTTTAAAAGGGATTCAGAAAAAATAAACAAGGGGCTTGTTTGTTTTTATACACTTCCCTAGACAAACCAAAAATTCCATGGCCACCTACCTGAGGCCACCTGGGGCCTTGCTGTCTGGGGACAAGTGGTGCAGCCCCAGCCCAGCTCCCAGGGACCCAGGGATGGGAACAACAGCACATCCTGCCTTCGGGCACACCCCCTCCCTCATTCTTCTAGCACCTGCCCTAGTTATGCAGGGGTGGCAGGGGCCAGCAGGTGGGCCCAGACACTGCTGTATCCTACTGAGTCCTGCAGGCAGGTTCTTGGAAAGGCAGGGCAGGGCTGCCACAGTCACTATAGCTGTGTGCTGGCTGGTGTGCACCTGTCCCCACAGGGGGCACCTGAGAAGATGCTTCCCAGCTCTTTAACCCCTCCCTAAGCTCGCAGGAGTCCTGTGGGGCTCAGACTGAGAGGCATCATCCCAGACACCCTGCACCTCTATCACACACCAGGCCTTGTATCCCTAGTGACAGACAGTAGCTTGGGCTCCCCTGGAGCTCAGTTCTGCTCCCCTGTGACTCTCTGTGTACTCTGTTCTGTCACTCATACCGTGCGAGGCCTTGGTTTGGGCCCAAAGGCCCAGGCCCCTCTTCCTGAGGACCAGTGGCCGTCTCCATGGCCTCTGATGTGTGTGCACTGGCTGCTTCACTCTGAAGCAACTGTGGGATGGGACAAGGAGTAGACAGTTCTGATCCCATGAAGGACGGAGATGGGGACAGCCAGGCATGAAAGGGAACCCTGGGGCCACCACAATTCACTGGCTGCTTGATAGTGGTCACTTGCAGCTCTCCAAAAGGAAAGAATTTCACCCTGAGCTTGTCCTGTGGTGGTGCAGGCTCTTCCTTGCCCCTGGGAGAGGAGCCGTGGGTAGCAGTGGTGGCGCTGGCCCCAGACCGCACCAGGCAGGGCACAGCCACCCCAGCAAGGCCCACTGCGATGGCTAGGTCACTGCAGCCTCCCGGGCAGACTGTGTGCCGACATCTCCCTTCTCTGTCCCCCCTCATGCTCAGTGCAAAGGGCTTCATTTGATGTCCACTGCCTGAGTCAGCACAGGCTGCTGTGACAAAGGGTCCCAACTGGATGACACCTGGAGAGGCCCGGCTTAGCTTAGGGAAGCTGAGCACTGTGATCAGAGTGCTGGCAGGGCCAGTCCCCCGGCCCCCTCTCTCCCAGGCTGGCCGATGGGGTCTTCTCTCTGCATCCCTCAGGGTCGGCCCCTGTGCGCATGTCCTGACCTCCTCTTCTCATGGGGACATGGTCACATTGAGCAGGACTACTGCTCACCTGCCCTTCACCTGAACCAGCCCTGGAAGGATCCCATCTCCACAGAGGGGTGATTGGGTCACCAGTGCAGTCCCTGTGCCCCAGACAAGGGCCACACCCATTCATGACCCCTACATTTTCTGCATCTCCTCTGCTCTGGGTTCAAGTAATCCACTTTCTTGCCTTCAACCTCAGAATAAAAGAGTTCCATGGGCAATGTCCTCTGTAGCAGCAAAGAGCCTGGACACGAGTTTCTGGCACTTGCACTGTGCATCTCCTGCTTTGCATGTACAGAGAGAAAGGAGGGCAAAGGAGTCCTAAAGTTGCCCAGTGTTTTGTCCACGTAAGAAGAGTTTAAATTTGCTTACTAATAACTACTCTCTGTGGTAGGGAAGAAGAAATGGCACAAGCAGCAGAGTGTTGAATAGGTCCTCAGCAGGTACAGCTGCACACCACTGACTGCAGGACCTGACACCAGGCCCGTCCACTGCAGGATGGACCTGTCCCTTGGGTGCATGGTCAAGGCCCGAGAGGGCGTCTGCAGAAAAGCTATTCCATAAGTGGGATTTCAACAACTTCATCTTATGCTGAAAACCCCAGCAGCACTAGCAGGTGGCCAGCAACAAGGAGGCCAGTCAGGCTTCCCTGGGTCTGGGTGTCCACTGACTGGTTCCCCCGATTGTGCATTCAGGGTCTCCCGCTAAGAATGCCGCCTGCACCCTTCCTGCTTGCCGGGAATTTAAGGAATCAGAAAAAGTGATAAGTGGAATGAGAACATCCCAGTCATGCTGGAGCCTGTTTATTTTCTTTTTAAAAGGCTGGTTAATAACATTCAAGAACCAAATTTATTTTGCAGTGTGTGTGGGTGGAGGGTGGTTATTTTTAAACCAACGACTAATCATCTCCATCGTCAGTGCTGCATGAAACAGAGTTTAATCTCAAGGGTGCACACAGTGATCTAAAACTATCATGCAGGTTTACATTTAAAAAAAATTTCTTCCAGTAAAAGACATTGCCACGAATACCCATCTCACTGAACACACTCATCCCACGGTCCTTGCCACTTTCTGCAACAGCTCTAGGGTTCTCTTTCCTAGAGATCTTCAGTTCATCTGTCCTGGCTGCCTTGATGTTCTGAATGGAGTCAAAACACTTCTCTTTAATGGTCACCTTGACTTTGGAGAAGAGCTGGAAGCCCCAAAGTATCAGGTCTAATAAATAAGGTGGATGAGAACACAGTTCCATGTTCTTATGAGCTGCCTTTATGTTAGCTGGCACGTGGCAGCAGCAGTCACTGTATTTTTGATCACCTTCATAAAGCCACTCAGGAAAGAGGACTCCAGAGCTGCTGCTGAAAGTGGCCAGAGTGCTGGGATGGTGGAAGCATGCTGGAAGTGAGAGGGAGGGTTTTGACCATTCAAGACACTGTGTCTTTTCCTTAAAGTTTGAATTAATTTCTTAATTCAAACATCTATTATGTATTTCTATTACACCTTGTATTAAACACTGACAGGGCAGCACACTTATCCCCACCCTGAGGCTACTGTCTGCAGGCCACCCAAACACTGAGGGTGTAGCCTGACAGTCAGAGCTGTGTCCCTGGGACTCTGCAACCTGCGGCACCCTCAGAGATGACCCTGCCCCCACACACTCAAAAGGAGAGGCAAGAACAAACTGGTAAGCAAAAGCAGCTCTGAAAGCCTCCACGCCCTTCCGCTGGAGGTCATGGTACCTAGACATGTGTGGCCCCTGAGAGACGCACTCACCATCTCCTTTCTGCCTTCATCCTTCTCCTGTAGCTTCAGGTGCGCAGAAACCTGTGGAGACAAGGACAATGGTGGATGACTGTCAGGGCATGAGTCTCACAAGCTACAGCATAGGCCAGTGACCTGGCAGCTCCCAGAAACACAGGAGGTCCTGGCATCACCCCTGTGGCTCGGTGGAGGCAGGGCTGGTCACGGAGAGTGGTGTGGGTCCAAACCCACTTCTGATGTCTCAGGTGAGTGCCCTGCCACACAAAAGGGAGGACCCCAGGCACCCTGCCCTTGACGGGACAGCAGTGCAAATTCAGGAACTGCATGCACCACGGGGGAGCCCGTGCCTGCCTGGGGGAGCTTCCACACTGCAGGGACCATGAGGCACAGCGCACCAGGAAGCCAGTTCTTGTTCTGCTTCATTTGCTGAGATGCGCTTTATCAGGAAAGCCCTGGAATGGCTTGCCTGGGAAAACTCACACAGGAGTCTGTGTCCTCAGCACACATCTGTGCCCTGCCCTCTCCGCACCCGTGGTCTGGGGCTCACTGGGTGTCTCAGTTTCTTCCTCACCTGCCTTGTAAATGAGGGACATTGCTGAGAGAGCCATGAAAGACAGAGAATACAATGCAAAACCTAACACCTCTGAGGGCGGCTATCTGTCAGGTGACGCCGAGTGTCACTACAGTCTGCTTGGTGGCTGTGAGAGACAGAAGCAGCACAGCCAGGTTAGCACGGTGGCCATCGTCACCACACCCAGGAGACAGGACCTCCCATGATGAAAGTGCAACAGGTTCCAGTCAGAAGCAGTTCTCAAGGGCATCTCAGAGTTCCCCAAATCAGAAACCAGTTGAACTTTATTTTGGAACTAGGCATATTCCACAGTACCACCTGGTGACAACACTGGGCAAGGCCACTGCAAAGGAATGCAGCAACTGAGCTGGAAAGTCAAGGCGATGGCTTCTGGCAGGGAACTGCCTTGTCCATCCTCACCACTGAGAGTGGGACTTGGGTCCCCCAGGACGCAGACATGATTCAGGGACCAGCAGGTGATGCGTGAAGACAGTATTTACTGAACACACAGAGCAATAAAAGCTCGACTGGAGGAAATTCCACCACAGGCTGCTTGTCCTAGTCTACATGCAAATGCCTCCTAGTCCCGTGTCCCCCAGCAGATCCACACAGGACTCCACACTATACTGTTCGGGTGAAGTGTGCTCTGAGAGACAGAACACTCAGTACTGGGATGATGAATGAGAACATGCCCCCCCACGCCCTCCCTTTCTGTTCCCTACAGAGCAGGTGAGAGAGCAAGTCACCTGCTTGAAATCACAACCTGCTTCTCTCTGCTGAACCAAGAATCCCTGGAATGCTCATGGCTGCCACTCTCTGACTTCCTGGGGAGGAGGCTTCACCCAGCCCAAGTCAGAAACACAGGTAAGTCCCTCTCTGGGTGGGGACCCCACTGCATACACCTGTCTGCGAATCCAATAGCAGCCCAGGCTCCACATCCCCTGTGCTACCTGGAGAGACACTACCTTGCAGGGGGCTTCATGCAATGGACGAGGAGAGAGCAGATCAGAGCACCCACACTACGTGTGCAGAGAAAAGCAGCTGCAGCCAGGGGCTGACTTGAGCAGGAGGGGTTCTGGGAGCTTCCACCACTTGCAGTATGGCACCAGTGGGGGCTCTGCTGCTGGGAGTTGAGCCCTGATAGCCAGAGACCCACCCAGCAGGCTTACTCTGGGGAAATACACTGTCAGCTGCTGCCTGGACACTTCTGTGGCTCCAAAGGTAAGGATGTTTGTGTCCTCCCTCAACACTGCATTTACCTATAGAGGACCTAAGTGAAGACTCCATGGGAAGACTTATGAGGTATGGCAGAGTTGTCGCAAGGGCACATGCTAACGACATGGAGTGTCTATGGGATCCCCCTCCTTCCCTGCACCACTGTGTGCCCCATTCCAACTAACCCCATATAATCTGGCTCTGAGTCCCCATGTGACCAATGGCTGCCAGGGACCCGGGGCTCACAGCATGGCTCCTGCAGGCTCCATCTCACACCCCTTTCCTGAATTCATGTGGCTGATGGCTGCAAGGGGACCCAGTGGGGGTTCAGCCATCACTGGCTGCCTCCCTGCATTTGACAGGCAGGCGAGTCAGAGGATGAGACTCTCTGGGCCTTCACTAGACAGCTGATGGAAGGAAAGCCCCTCTATTTTGGAAGGAGAGCTGGTTTCTGTGGAAATGATCTCTGAGTCAGAGATCAATGATCTCAGAGACCTGACCACGACTGACAAGAAAGATACACTGAACTCACAGCCTGGGGGATCTTTTCTGTGTAGCTGTCCACATAGCAGGCAGGGCTGGCATGTGCTGCAGGGAGGGTATCCAGGGCAGGGGTGCATGGATGGGGTGGGACTCACCATCATGGCCTCCTGCACAGTGAGGTGCGGCAGTAGCATGTCGTCTTGCATGATGTAGCATGACACCTTCCGGAAGCAGCGCAGGTCCCGGGGCAGCCCATTGATGAGGACTGAACCTTTCATGCCACTCTCCCTGTGGGGCGAGGACAGAGGAGGCCATCAACACCACCCTTCCTGGCCTCGCTGCTGGCTAGAAGAGTGGTGACCAAGAGGTGGCCCTTCCAGCTGCTGCAGGGAGACCCAGAGGGCTATGCTGTCCTCTGCCTGGAGACACCATGGTGAGGAAGGGACCCAGCACACACAAGCTCGCTGGGCCAGTGCAGTTTTGCCAAGGGGAAGGGGCTGCACTTTCTCTGCCCATCTGACACAGGGCTGCTGATCAATTCTCCCTGGCCTGGCAGGGCTGTAAGATCTGCAGCTGCTTCCTTTCCTCTTCCTGTGTGTGTGTGCACACATGCACGCCTGTGCATCACAGGGATGGAACCCCGGCCCTTTCTGGTTTCTGTTTTGAGACAAGCTCTCTCCATGTTGCTCAGTGGTCCAAGCTGGGCTCAAACTTGTGATCTGCCTGCCTGGGCTGCCCAGAGCGCTGGGATGACAGGTGTGCACCACCACGCCTGGCTAATAGGCACTCACCGTAAAGCTTCATGTATAAATTAAGCAGGGAGGGTATGGGGGTTGCTTAGCAGACTAAATGCCTGCTTAGGTAAGTACAGGGACCAGGGTTTGATCCTGGCACCACATGCCATGCCGGCCCCACCCCAGGGTATGCTGAGTCGGCTACTGAGTCCGGGCATGGTGGCATATGCCTGTATTCCCAGCACTGGGGAGGCTGAAGCACAGGAAGGTCACTACGAGTCTGAGCTGCATAGCAAGACCCTGTACCAAATACATAAAATTAATTAATTAAGCAGGAAGAGAGCTCAGTAACTGCAACTGACAATAAAACAGAACAGTAACACACTGTGCTGCTCTAAAGTCACCTGCATCTGCAAGTCTCCCACTGCCGGAGCCATTATTAAGTAAAATACGTCACTTGAAATCACAGCGGTGGGCCTGATAACCTGGGAGGCTCCGAGTGCCCAACAAGCAGGCCATGTAGACACTGGAGATGCTGCTCAAAGGGACGGGGGTGGGGTGGGCAGCAAGGAGCACATCACAAATCTCAGAAAGGCATGCAGCTCAACGCTTACGAGCTATGCATTTCTGGAGTTTTCCACTTAATAGTTTTGGGTTATGGTTGACTGCAGCTATCTGAAAGTGCAGGAAGCACAACTGTGGGTGAGAGGTATTCTCATGACTCCTGTCAGCAAGGAGAAGTGAAGAGAACTGAGAACTGGCTTTAGCTGGGCGTGGTGGTATGTAGGCCCAGAATCCTAGCACTCTGGGATGCTCAGGCCAGAGGATCTAAGGTTAAAGCCAGCCTGGGCAACTGAGCGAGACCTGTCTCAAAATAAAAGAATGTTTAAAAGGGCTGAGATGCAGCTGTGTGTGAAGACTCTGGGCTCAAGTCACACGGGAGCCTATGATCACTAAAGTTTGGTTTGTTTGTTTGTTTGTTTGCTCATTTGTTTTTCAGATAGGATTTTGCTATGTAGTCCAGTCAGGCCTTGAACTCACAGCAATCCTCCTGCCTCAGCTTTCCCAGGACTATGGGCATGTACCACTATGCCTACTATAACGTTCTGCACAACTAAAGAAACCACACCCAGCCTGCCTGAGCACTCCTCTCTGTCCCTTTTGAAAAAGCCTTGTCATATTTTCCAGCACTTTCTGCTTGTTCTCCCAGCTCTCCCTCTCCCCGACCTTGTCCATCCCACTTCATGTGCCAGCAGGGTTGGCCCAGGGCTGAACTCACTCAGGGAACACTGACTTACCTGCCTGAAAGGTACAGCCATTCAGCACCTCCTGCAGGCTTCCCTGGAGCCCCCCACTGGACAGCAGGCTGTCCTATGAGGGCACATGGCAGCATACTCACCCCCACTCTCCTGCTCACCTGTATCCAGCCAGGATGTTCATGAGTGTGGACTTCCCAGCCCCTGAGGGGCCCATGATGGCCACCAGCTCCCCACTGCTGAACTTCCCAGAGATTCCTTTCAGGAGGGTCTTGTATCCTGCAAAAGGCAAACCATGTCTACTTGGGGACCGGAATAGGATTGTCCTCTTTGTGTCCCTCCTGCCTCCTGGAGCGCTATGGTAGAACATGCTGGACCCTGTGTCCCTGTGTCCTTCCCCACACTGTGTCACGGGTTCCAAACATATAGTGGCACGTGTGTATTGCTGGGACATTCACCAAGCGCTTCTCACATGGGGCTAAGGTCGCCCTTCAGGACTCACTGTCCTCCACTCACTTGTATTAATTATACCACTCCTCTGGCATTTCATTGACCAATTACTTATTTATTCTTTATACATTTACATGAATTATTTATATACAATTTACTTATAAATAACTACTTTTTAATTAAATAATCAATACATTATTAATTCCTTCATTAATAATGAAAAGCATTTACAATCACATCAGATGGCTTTGGAATTTTTGCTGATCTCGCGGGTGACACTTCCGGCGGACTGTGGAGATGTGCTAGGAAGATAAACCAGAAGCAACTGGATTCATAAACTCCAACCCAGGAAGTCACTTGGGCAGAGCAGCCAGAGTGCATCATGGGATTGTGTCATGTTTCCAGGGCCTTCATGAGACAAGAGATACCACAAGTACTTGCCCATTGTTGTCTGCCAACACTCTCCTGGGCTCCAGGGGCACCTAAGCCAACATGTTTGCAGGGCCCAATCTGGGTTTTCTCCCTGCTGGCTTCCTGCCCCTTACAGATGGGACACTAGCATTCCAGTCTGTCACCAGCTGCCACCTAACTTGCATGGGACTCCCTGAGGCCTTGTTTAAGCCAGGTGGAGAGAAGTCAGGAAGCTGTAGCCCTGAAGCTATTCTCTGAACAGAGAAGAGTGACTGTCACCCTAGGAGGGCAGGGATAGTCACTCCCAAGGGAGAAGGGACCCAGGACCTGAAAGCATGTCCAGAAAGGCAACTTCCCCTTGTGAGAAGTGGCCAGCTACAACCTAGGTGCATCGACAGCCAGAGGATACAAGGGGGGTGTGCTGGGCTTGCATCCTGCTTGGTGGGGCCTGTGTGGTGGACAGACAGACAGAGGGCTGGGAACCACAGGACCCTGTCCTTACTTGGGTCAGCCTCCCAGGAGAGCGGGTCCTCAGAGGGAGCACTGCATGGGGGGGGGTACTGGGAAGTGGCCCCCGGGGCATGCAAGTGACATCACTGAGGGAGCACTAAGCCCCAAGCAACCGCTCATTGCTGCTTTGGTCTGCCCCAGCTGGAGCTGGGGTTGCTTCCGGGCAAACTCCCTGTGCATGGCTGTCTGCTCTCTTCATTGGGAGCTTCCCCTGTAAAGACCCTGTGTGCCAGAAGCTGTCCAGGATGCAGTGAGGGACCACGTGCAGCTGCAGGACTTCAGTGTGCCTGAGAACATCGAGTATGGTCAGCTGACGTCAAGTCAATTCGTTAAGTGTGGAAAGGCCTCAGTTAGCTCAGACCCCTCTGAACAAGGACAGAGGAGATGAGAGGCATCAGAATGCAGGCCACCCCTCTTAGGTCCTCACAAGGGCAGCCTTGAGCGCAGGGTAGCTATGGAGCCCCAGACCTCAGTGACAAAGAAAGAGCAAGTCCCTGTGGACAGTTCAGGAGTCATAGGGTTCATGCTTGCCTGTCACCACCCTGTGGCCACATGTCCTGGGAGAAGAGGATTCATGAAGGTCCCTCCAGCAGGAGAGGATGGCAACCCACACCCTGGATGTCCCCTAGCTGAGTTTAACCTGCTATTCACAGCTGGGGGCCGGGGAGGAAGAGGGCCCAGGGGAGCCCAGGGCCCAGGCACAGCCCTGGTCACCTCTGGCCACCACAGGCAAATGAATGTGTGCACCACCACAGCCTCAAGGCCCACGGTGCAGTCACCTTCCCTCAGCCGCCCATCCTGGAGTTCCCAGGCCTCCAGGACCTGACCCATCTTCTGGTTGGTGCCCAAGGCCATTGGGTAGGACCTTAAAAGTAGCCCTGGGAACTAGGACAGAGGATACCATGGGACAACTGGTCCTCTCCTCTCCTCTCCTCCCTCCCCCCTGGTCTCTTCTCCCACCCTGATGCCCCCTCTCTCTTCTTTTCCTCTTTCTGTCCCCACTTGACCCTTGTCTCTCTCTCCTATTTGCTCGCCTTCTATGCACCTTTCTTGGTTCTTGTCTCTCTCCCCCTCATTCTGTCTCTGAGAAGCAGGGACCTCACCTGTCCTCTAGTGACCTGTGGTCGGGCATACACAGTGCACACTGCTGATTCCATGCTTCCCAATCAGATCAACAGAGGCATTCGGTGCTAAAGGGTCTCTGAGTTTTGTCTTTAGTAGGTCCTTTTTGGACCATAGCAATCCAGAGAGGAAGGAATCATGAGGAAGGTGACAACATCTGGGCAAGACAGCTTCTCCCCAGGGGCTCCCAGAAGGCACGGCCGCGCCTGAGCCCAGCACTGTCCACTGCTCCAACACATGTCGCTTTGCTTCCCATGAGGGCCAGGGTCATTGCTCCATGAGGACATGCCCAGGGCTGGCTGCTAAGTAACTGCCCCGTGAGCTAATGGGCAGCAGTGATCTCTCTCCCTGAGGGAATTTGGTGACAACCACTGTCTTGGGCATACTCTCTCCTTGCTCCTTCAAAATAGGACAGATACCCAAGGTGCCAGCCAGCGTGTGCTGGCCAGCAGGAAGGACCACAAGCCCTGCCGCTGCAGCTGCCTGTGCCACGTGAGGTCCCAGCACACACAGGATAACAGCATGCTATTAGAGGGGCCACTGGTGTCCCTATGCATCATACTGTGTGCAACAAAACCTGCTTCCAGTGGACAGCATCTGTTGCCAGTTAATCTCGAATAGTGGCAATCAAAATGAGCCAGTTTCTGAGCAGTGACTTTGACAAGTAAACTTCACCCAGGTATGGCACCCATGCAGCCCATAGACTCTCTGTCCCTGTGTCCCAGCCTCAGCCTGTCAGATCACCACTCTGAAAGCCTGAGCAGAATCCCAGGCTGTTGGCCTGCACACAGCGGAGGAGGAGCACAGAATCCTTCCTTGGCCATCACAACCACATTCTGCTGCCCATGAAAAACAAACAAACAAAAGCCCATCTTCTGTGAACCAGAAACTGTTCCCTATAAGCCCATGAGACTGTCCACTGTCCCCTGACTCCTGTGCTGTGTGACCACAACTGTCACCAGGCAACCAGCACTCTAGGTAGAGCTGGTTCCAGGCCAGAGCACATTTTAGAGCACTACAGACAAGTGGAAGGTGCTAACTGTCCACTTCCTCTGAAAACAAACAGGGCCATGGAAAGGCAATGGTATCAGCGGACACCTGTGAGGGTTCGGGGACAGCGAGCAAGTGCTGTGTTTCGTAGATAACGTGAGGGCTCAGGGTTCTGAGAGGGTCAGTGGTGGCCTGAGGCCACACAGCCCAATTCCCACCTCTTCAGTAACCCAGAGGTGGCTCTTTTAGCAGGGTTGGGCTCAGGGTTTCTGCACCATTTCCTTCCTGTCCCCTCTCCTGTGAATGGACTCTTCCCATCACTGAACCCCAACAGCTCATCCAGGAAGGCACTCCTGGTCTGCTACTGCTGGACCATGGAATAGGATGGAAAAAAAAAAATCCTACTTTCTTGCCCCAGAAAATCGAAATCCCCTGGAGCTCCTGAGGCCAGGTGGGTTCTAAGTATGGCTGGGCCTTCTAGCACCAGTGCCACAGAAGCCAAGGCCTGAAAAACTCTTCGTTCATCAGAGCACGCTTCACTCCTTCAGGTGACTTATCCTTCTTTCTGTGGCTTTTTCAAACCATAAAACCTCCTAGATTAAACAAAATAAAATTCTTAGCTGAGAGTGGTGGTCTATGGCCTGTCACCCCAGAACTCTAGGAGGCTGAGGCAGGATGACTGCAAAGTAGCTCAGTGCAGAGGCCCTGGGTTCAATCTCCAACACTGGAAACAAACAAACAACCTCTTGCCAGAATGTACTTTTGCCTCTTAGGGAAAGCTCAAGCCCTGCTGGTGTTGAGCTACTTGGGACAAAGACCTTTTCTGCTATCTGCCACCACAGGCCACCAAAACTGCTAGCATTGGGATGATACCATTGGCTGGGGTCCTTGGGAGCCTTTAGGCCCCCAATCTTGGCTCCCAGTAGAATTAATAGGGAGTACTTCCCTGACAGGCACAGGGATTGAGTAACACGCTGGGGCCACAGGGCAGAGCAGCCACAGGACTGTCCCCAGCCACACAAAGCCGTGTTGTCTCCCACACTGTGCTGGGCAGGTGTGGGTGAAATGGGCGCCCAGGAGAAGCGGGCCCTTGTTTTGTGATTTTGCAAACACCAAATGCCACATGGATTGCTCAGCAGTCAATGGACTCCTTGGGAGTTAATGCACTATAAACATAATCTCGAACAAACAGAAACAAGTCTTCTCAGGTTCCAGAGCTCCCAGCAGGCCTCATGGTGTCTCACCTTTGCTTGCTACACTCTCCAGCCACACGGGCCAGGCAGAAGGCTCCTCCTCCAGGCCTGGGGAGGGCGAGATGGCCCTGGCATAGCAAGGGCCTTCACACAGAGCTCAGGTCCTTGCAGAGATTCGGACCTGGCATTGTCTCCCTAGTCTCTCTGCCATTACCTGCCAATTCCTGCACCTGCCAGACCCTTCAGCCTGGCCCTCAAGGCCACCATCTCCTGTGGGGATGGCCAGGCAGAGTCTTCCTTCATCCCTGCTCCTGCCACTCCACACAGAGTCATCTTCCAACTATGCAGGGCTGGGTACAGCAGATAGCTGCAGCCCCCATCCCTGGCTGGGGGATGCACAGGGCTTGGCTGCCCTCACTGTCCTTGCAAGGGAGTCCTCAGGAGTTTGGAGGGAACAAAGCTACATGGCCTAAAGGCTGACCTCACAAAGGACAGGGTGGCAGTGGTCTTCTGGATGTCTGTGCTTTTTTCTCCCTCTAGATAGATGTTTCCTGCTCTTTGGCACCTTATAGAACAGGAGGTGGCTAGGAGGAAGAGTTAAGT